GTATAAAGTACAACTTGGTGCATTTCAAATATGATAAGTAAAATGCAAATCACTAATTTCCAGTTTTGAGTGGGGTAAAATGCTAAAATATTGAACCATCATGCTAGAATATTGAAGTGCTGTTGAACTGAGTGAACGATGTTTGCTCTTTGTTTGAGGCCGCTATCATGTGGATGGCTAAAAGATTTCAGTGTTTTGCAAGACACAATATATAAAGATATCAAATTATCACCTCTGTTGCTCAGTTTAGTCAATACCCATACATTATTCCATTATAGTACATTGTTGTTTCATGAAATATTCATGTTAACATAACATCTATATTGCATTACAGTGTGCCCCAGATTTTAGCTGTATTTTTGACACACATTAGACTGTGCTTTCAGGCTTACAATACACAGTTAGTCCCTCTCCCCTCTTGCTAAAAACTCACTGGAGATCTTCCTCTGGTTCAATCTCTAGTCTGTCTGTGAAAGCAGCAGTGGGTGTATCATATCTCTGTTGCAATCTAGAGATCAGCTGCAGACTCAACAAAAGGTCTCAGAAAGAGGGACCCCTGAGTTCTCTGAATCTGTGAGAGAAAATGACAGAGGGAAATTGAGAGTGATGCGGGGCTATCAAAAGAGCAAAAAGAGACAAATAAAAGGCCAAGAAAGGAGAGAGAATTGGGGAACAGATGGAGAGTAAAAAGATGTGAAAATCATAAAGGCAGAGTCAGACAAGAAGAAGAAGGGGTGAGGGCTCATAAAGAGCTAAAGTTGGTGCAGAGAGTAAAGGGTGAAGAGGGAGAAGAGAAAGTTCTGTTGTCAGCAGAGAGAGAGGGCGGCAGGTGATTGAAGGATAATGACAGAGGGAGGAGCTCGCTTGCCCTCTGCTGACCTCTCACTGGGAAGAGTTGAAGGAAGTGGGCGCAGCAGCAGTCCTAATGTGATGGGATATCCTGCAGCCTGCCTGCTAACCCCTCTTCCTCCGACGGTAATGTCTGTTCCCATCATTGCACAATCACCTCTGCAGGACAAGGCTGTGCTCGAGAGCAACACAAACACACAGGAGATACACTCATAGACACCTCATGCAATAATGACGCACACATGTTCACGTGCACGAGCGCACAGATGGATGCATGCGCTGATGTACGCAGGCCTTCACACATGCTGACAGCCAAAAACACACACGTATAAACACACCTCCAGTTGACTCAACAACATTCACAGCCAAGGACGCTTTGACTCAGGTCACTGTATTACGCATCAATGTAGGACAGTGTTGAAATTATAGTACAGAGAAGGAAGAGCCGGTGGATTACAAACACAAAGTGTGCCAGCGATGGCACTAACAAAAAACAGTATTATCATGCAGTGCAGTGCAGCTGGTTTGGTTTACTCAGTGCAAACAAAGCCCATTATCCCTCTCAGTGCAGTTTTACACATACACCAAAATGAAAGCTTATCATTTGATGAGTGTTTAAAGGATACACATAATTACCCTGAGATGAGAGTATTTATCATTTTGTGATTACTGAAGCCAAATGCTAAATGGCTAGTCTCTTCAAAAGAACTGTTGTTTTATTTGCCATTATGCTTCATTATGGTTACTCGTGTCCCTGTAACAAAAAGTTCAGCAACTTGTGGGTATTTTCTCCTGTGGAAAAGCTGCCTCGCTTCACTCACTCCCCCTCTACCCGCCACCCATGAAACATCAAAGCACGGCCACACTGAAACTTCAAGCCCATTTTGGCATTGCCCTCCTACCTCCAGATCCAGTAATTACAGCTCATACAAGACATCAACATTATTACTCGTCAAACCACAGTATAATAATACCACAAAACACTTCAAAGAGACAACTCACATTTCAGGGGAAAAATAAAAACTCATGGATTATGCATTAGGGAGGACTGATTCAACCTTCCAAAGCAGCTGGGGCTCAGTTCATGTTATCTGGAGCAAGACCCATACTTGATAATCAAGATCTATGTTGGTGTAATTTGAAAATAAATTTTACGTGATTGTTAAAACTGAGCAGGCCAATGGTTTGGGGTGTTTTTTTTTTACTAGCCTGTATTTTGCATTTGCAGAGCAGTGCTTATTTCACAATAGGATTATGAAGCAGCCAAGTGTTAGTTTGGCCATGAGGTTAAATTGCAGCGCCTTGACAGGCTTACAGCCTCGCCGCACCCTCGATTTTTATATGTTTCAATACTGCCCTCTTCTGTCTTACTATGTAAATATTCTTTTATTCCTATTTTCTCCTTTATATAATTTTCTTCTCCCAATTAGATCAAAATATAATCAATTTGCACACCAGAAATCTAGAAACCTATGAACATTAAGTTATTTACTTATTTTCTTTCCAATTCTCTCTTTTAGAGAGATAAAAGAAGATTAACTTTATCGACCCTGCTTATGGGAAATTGTCCCACAGCAGCAGAAATACAAGAACAGATGCATAGTATAAAAGAGTAACTTATATACTATATACATTATGAGCATATACAAAACACAACATGAAGCATGACAAAAACGAAAAACCAAATACTGCACACACAAATTGTGTTGAGACAAAAATGGAAGTGGGTGGTGGTATCTTATGTCTGCAAAGTTAGCAGCATAAAATACAGTTACCACATTCGTACTAACAAAAATAACATGCAAATAATGTATAAAATAATTTGCTGATGAACAGCAGATATCATAGCTATGTATCAATATTTAATGCAAAATATACTGGAGGTAAAGGCTAAGACACTGTGCATCAACCTAAACATCAACAACTACCCTTACATGTACTGTATCTAGAGTCTTTACTGTCTATTTTTACTGTTAATATTTTAAAACAGTGCTCACATTTCATGCCAGGTTTCTCCAGATTAACAATCTTGAAGGTTCTGAGGGATGCTGCCAAATATGTCTTGGACCAGGCACAGAGATTATCAGATATTTTTAGGACCTCATCTAACTTTCAGCTCTCTGTCTCTAACACTGAAATAAAAGCTTGGCTGAGAGTACAAGCTCACTATAACTGAAAACTCTTTACACAAGATAACACTTTCACAAAGAACATACAGAACAGAACAGGAGGGTTCTTTAACACATAACTAACCTAAACTAAACTTTATCATAGTTTTTCCAGTGTACAACAGAGAGTGTTTTCTTTCTTTTTGGGTGTCTCCACTAAAAAGAAACCAAGTTAAACACTCTTACACAAAGTCAGAAAATTCAATATCACACTGAACAGCAGTATCGTTTATACACCGTGAACTAGAGTTTGTCTATAAAAGAATCCTCTTTTATTTTCTCCGTGAATGTTGCTCAAAGTCAAACACAGTGGTAGAAAACTGAGATGGTAAAACGAGGGAAGGTGACATTATTACACCAGGATGGATGGTGTGTGTGAAAGTGTGGGTGTGTGCAAAAATATTATGTCAATTTTCTACATTTAGTGCACATAAATGTAACCTATGCAGTGATACTGTGGTCATGCATGTGTATGTCACAACTGAAAGGCAATGTAATATTTAGCACAGTTATACTACGAAGCTACATCTTTAATAAAGCTGTGACCTACTTCCTGACCGGGAAGTCAACAGTTTCATCATCACCACCATCCAACTGCCATGACAATAAACATCACCAACCTTCCCCAATGTCACTGACATGTCAGCCATTTTAATTATTCATGGCGAGTGTCTGTTCCATTTATCTCCACATGCTTTAATTGAGTTTGAAGCTTACAACCCCCATCCTCATTTACTTGCCAATTCAACAGTGTTTTGCCCATTACATTGTGCCAAATGTGCAGAAATACAGTGCAAGTGGGAAAAAAAGTGAGACACTAAATATTATGAGTGTATATAAGATTACATATTATTCTGTGTTCATTAAATGTCATATTGCAAGAAACTAGTCTTATTTTTGCAAGATTTGGAGCCACCTTTCAGTCTACCTGATATCAACCATTCTTTTTTTTGTTTTACTAAAATAGTAATATGTGAAATATGTATACATGTTTACATGTTTATGTCTAGGATGTAAAAGTGTATTCAGGAATACCACAATACATATTATATATGTATATCGTACAAAAAGCTCAACCATTTGGAGGATCAAAGTAAATTGGAATCCAGTGTATTGAGCAAGAGTGACACCCTGTGGTTATTTAGGCTTAATGCAAGGACTTTAAACACCTCGTACCACATCTCTTTCCATATATAAAATAAATTAGCCCATAAATTATACATTTACATTAATTTTACAAATAATTAGCGAACATTGGGGAATATAATTTAACCTCACTGAAAGGTTAGAAGTTCTAAATTCTAGATTTTGTGGACCAAAGTCCAATATTTCTTGCTCTTTAAAAAAAATAAGAAAAGCATGAGTGACACAGAAACATAGTATTGATACATATTGAAACATATGGAGTGTGGTGATGCAGAAGTGTACAGTACACCATGACATCAATGTTGTGTGTGGTTACAGGTGGCCTGAGCACAGCAAAACTTTCTTTCTTCTTCTTTTATCCACAGATCTGAGATCACAGATGATCATGTTCATCTTGACACCCATGGATGAGGTAAATGATAGTAATATATTAAATTAAGTTGTTTATTAAAAATATATATATTTTTTTAAATGTATGGACTCTGGTATTGTACTTAATGGAGGATCTGGGAACAATAACCCATATTTCCAATTTTGAATAGGCACAGTACCACTTTTTACCTTAACAAAAACAGCTGGAATAACAACTTTACAAACTCACCTTTGACATTTTGAACATTTATTTGAGAAAGGCAGGTCGAGTTGAGCAGTTACTCAAATATGTGTAAACAAACACAACCAGACCATGTCCACTAAGCTAAGTAGTAAGTAATAACACCAAAAACGCAGAAAACGTCTCTCTCTACGTCTTCAACTGCGGGCAGGTGTGTGCCATGCTGAATTTATGCTTCGCTGTCAAAAGAGCAACTACAAGGACCACAATGCACCGCAGCGAAACAGTCACTATCATGACACATCTTCAGCATCAGGAAAAGCTTCCTCTTTGGAAGCGTTTTATTTGCTAACCTTGCAAAGAGGTTGGCTCCTTGTTATGGTTAGCAGTTTAGGAAGTGGTTTAAAAGCTCCTCGCATCGGCAGGCAGACACTGTCGGGCTCTAACTGTGTGTCTACAGAGATATACAGACACTTTGTAGCTCAGGAGCTCAGCTAAAAGAGCGCTTCACAAGCTAATAGGCGCTAACGCTAGCTAACGGGGGAGACCGTCACATTTAATGTCGGAGAGCAATTGAGAAAAAAAAAATAAGGGGGTATCTGTTATCCTGACACCTACAAGACATGCTACGAAGAATCAACACAAAGTAAGTAGCTAATTACTTTCTCTAGACGCCGGTCGGGTTACGGTGCAGATGGCTAGCTCAACTTGATAGCTAAGTTAGCGTTTGATTCGAGGACTTGGGGACGTGTTAGTTAATGTATGAAGTGTTTGATTTGATTCATTGGGACACTCAACCCATTATACGTTTTCATCTGGACGGGTGACACGGCGTTAGTCAGATGTGGTGTCATTTGCTGTGTCTTAATGTGCTGGCGTGTGAAACATTATCACGTGAGTTGCCACAACACAGGAAACACAGTCACATTTTCTCCACTTGTTAAATAGCTCGACGTTGCTGCTGCACTTTATATTAATGCTGTAGGCCTGAAGTTGGACAGTGTGTCTGTGTGCTGTTAAAATGACAAGTCAGGTACCTTGAGCCTAAAAGTGAGGTAAGGTCACATCAGTAACACTTAAAGACACCTGGTATGTATGTATTTTTATTCTGTGAGTGTTACTTATTTTTTTGACTCTAATTGTAAAGTTAAGTTGGACTAAGACAAAGTGGATCAACCGCACTTGCATTGTTGTAGTAAGGCGTCTGCACTGTGTTGACTCACTTGGCTCACTGATCTGTAATAGTGACCTTTTTATGTCTATTGGACTGGACTTACTGCCAGTGTACACAGGTAAAACACTGGACATACACAGCCATTTCTTTAAAAGTTAATGTCGGTGTGTTATCTGTTGTTATCCACCCAATAACTTGGATCAGTTATTGGGTGAGATGTCTATTACTTCAGTCCCTCCTGGAGAAGTTATGATTGCAATAATCAATGGACAATCATTACTGTGCAATCTATTGCCC